GGGGCCAAAAAGGGGCCGAAAATAAGCATTTTTGTAACTTCCAGACATAACTTGTGTGTTAGCATATGGATCTCTTTGACATTGTACCACAAGATTCCATATCACAAAGGGTCAATGCTGGGATTGATTTTGGGGTTAATTGCCTCAAAATTTTAGGAATAAGGGGCCAAAAGGGGGCAAAAAACAAGCATTTTTCTAGTTTCATGACAATAACTTGTGTGTAAGTGTATGGATCTTTCTGAAATTTTACTACAAGGTTCCATTTCACAAAGGGAAAGCTGGAATTGAGTGTTGTGGTAATTGCCCAAAACGTTTAGTAATAAGGGGCCTAAAAAGGGGTTTAAAATAAGCATTTTTTAGTTTCTAGACAATAACTTGTGTTCAAGTGTATGGATCTCTCTAAAATTGTATTACAAGGTACCATACCACAAAGGCAAGGCTGTTATTGAGCTTGGTTTGGGGGGAAAGGGGGGTGGGGTGATGAATCATAAGGGGGGCGGGGGTCAAAAAAGGGGTAATTTTTTTTTTCCTTTTTTTTTTGCTTAAAATTTACATTTTAAGTAAGTTATTTTTTATCACGAAGAGAAAGTAGGAATTGAGTTTTGGGGTTAATTGCTCAAACATTTATGAATAAGGGGCCAAATATTGGTCGAAAATAAGGATTTTTTTAGTTTGCAACAAAAACTTGTGTTCAAGTGTATGGATCTCTGTGAAATTGTATTGCAATGTACCATACCACAAATTGAAGGTTGTGATTGAGGTGGGGGATGATGAATCAAAAGGGGGTTGAAAAAATGTGTGGGGGGTAGGATTTTTTTTTTTCCTTTTTTTTTCTTTAAAATTTTCCATTTAAAGATGGTTGTTTCAGATTTATATATGAAAGAAAATAATAATGATACGGTTATATATCATGAGGAATTGAAATTTAAAATTATGTATATTGGAAATTTAGGTTACATTGGAAAGTAATAATTGGCTTTGGGGGGGGGGGGGGGGGGGGGGGGGGGGGGGGGGGGGGGGGTGGGGGGTGGTGGGGGGGGGGGGGGGTGGTGGTTATGGGGCTCTAATGTTTAAGGAATAAGGGGGAAAAAAGTTTAAAAAACAAGGGTTTCCATTTTAATAGACAAATAATTGAGTAAAGAACATTATTTAAAAGCAGTGTAAGGTTGGTAATTCAAACTCATTTAAATATCTCATCTACACTGCTTTTAAATTATGTAAATTGGAAATTTGCCAATAACTTTATTGTTAATAAATGCATTGGAAATTTGCCAACAATTTTAGTGTAATAAACTTCATTGGAAATTTGCCAATATAAAATTTTGCTGCTGAAGGTTTTTTGTTTACCTTTAGCCTTGACTATGAAGTCATTTTCTATTTTTATAGCCTTATAATGTAGTTGAATTATTTAATACTTTTATGATGTGTTTAAATGGGGTTTTATCATGTTTATGGTTGCAAATTTATTGTTTTAGTATAATAAACTCCATTTAAAATTTGCCAATAAAAAAAAATTTTGTTTATTTTTAGCTATGATTATGATGTCATTTTCTATTTTACTTTTATGGTTGCAAAGAAATTTTTATTTTTAGATATTACTGTTAAATGATGCTGATTAAGGTTTTTGCTATGTTTAGCCATGACTATGATGTCATTTTCTATTTTAATATCTGTTATGATGTATTTAAATGGGCTTTTATGGTTACAAAGGAATTTTATTTTTAGATATTACTATAAAATGTTGCTGATGCTGATTAAGGATTTGTTTATTTTTAGCCATGACTATGATGTCATTTTCTATTTCAATACCTTTATGATGTAATTTCCATTTTTAGATATTACTGTTAAATGATGCTGATTAAGGGTTTTTTGCTATGTTTAGCCATGACTATGATGTCATTTTCTATTTTAATATCTTTATGATGTATTTAAATGGGCTTTTATGGTTACAAAGGAATTTTATTTTTAGATATTACTTTAAATGTTGCTGATTAAGGATTTTTGTTTATTTTTAGCCATGACTATGATGTCACTTTCTATTTTAATACCTTTATGATGTATTTAAATGGGCTCCCATGTATTTAGATTTTTGATTATTTATACATGTTACCAAATTGGTCCACATTGAACAAAAACGGTCCAAATTTCAACTTTATTACATTACATCAAACATTGAATTCTACATATTCTTTGATATATTGAAATTAACAAACAATTAAGTTTATGGATATTCCACCATAATAGGTAAATTAAATTTTTTCCAGTTCTTACACCACATTCATCCTGTGTCAGAAACCTATGCTGTGTCAAATATTTAATGACAATCCAAAGTCATAGCTGTATCAAGCTTGAATTTTGTGTCCATACTTGCCCCAACTGTTCAGGGTTCGACCTCTGCGGTCGTATCAAGCTGCGCCCCAGCGAAGCATTTTATTTAATGAATAAAAACCCCAAAACTCGAAAACGGTAAATCCGAAATTTATAAAAAACAAAAGGGAGCTCACGTCAATAGATATGAACAATTCACAAAAGTTTCATGCAAATTGGTGAAATTTTTTTTGAGTTATTGTCCGAAAACTGGAAAATCCCCCCTTTTTTAATGAATAAAACCCAAAAACTCGAAAACGGTAAATCCGAAATTTATAAAAAACGAAAGGGAGCTCACGTCAATAGATATGAACATTTCACAAAAGTTTCATGCAAATTGGTGAAATTGTTTTTGAGTTATTGTTCGAAAACTGGAAAATCCCCCCTTTTTTAATGAATAAAACCCCAAAACTCAGAAAACGGTAAATCTGAAATTTATAAAAAACGAAAGGGAGCTCACGTCAATAGATATAAACAATTCACCAAAGTTTCATGCATATTGGTTAAAGCGTTTTTGAATTAATGTCCGACATTTGACGATGGACGGACGGACAGACGGTCAACGGTATACCATAATACGTCCTGTAAACGGGCGTATAAAAATGTGTTTTTTGGCCCCAAATTCCTAAACATTTAGGCCAATTACCCCCAAACTCAAACCCAGCTTTCCCTTTGTGATATGGAACCTTGAAGTACAATTTCAGAAAGATCCATACACTTACACACAAGTTATTGTCCTGAAACTAGAAAAATGCTTGTTTTTTGCCCCTTTTTGGCCCCTAATTCCTAAAATATAAGAGGCAATTACCCCCATCATCAATCCCATCCTTCCCTTTGTGGTATGGTACCTTGCAGTACAATTTCAGAGAGATCCATATACTTGAACACAAGTTATTGTCTGGAAACTAGAAAAATGCTTATTTTTGGCCCCTTTTTGGCCCCAATTCCTAAACATTTCGGCAATTACCCCCAAACTCAATTCCAGCTTTCCCTTTCGTGATATGGAACCTTGTAGTACAATTTCAGAAAGATCCATACACTTACACACAAGTTATTGTCATGAAACTAGAAAAATGCTTGTTTTTTGTCCCTTTTTTGGCCCCTAATTCCTAAAATTTTGAGGCAATTACCCCCAAAATCAATCCCAGCATTCCTTTTGTGATATGGAACCTTGTGGTACAATGTCAGAGAGATCCATACACTAACACACAAGTTATGTCTGGAAGTTACAAAAATGCTTATTTTTGGCCCCTAATTCCTTTACTGTTGGTACCATAACCCCCAAAATCAATCCCAACCTTCCTTTTGTGGTATTGAACCTTGTGGTAAAATTTCATAGAGATCCATTCACTTAAACTAAAGTTAGAGTGCGAAAACCAATGTGTCTTGGGACGACAACGACGACGCCAACGTCATACCAATATACAACCACAAAAATTTTTTTGCGGTCGTATAAAAATTGAATCGTAATTTCCTGTCGATATGCACAACTACATAGTATGTCCTTATTATCTAAAAAGGTTTCGTGAAATTCTGTTGTGTGGTTTGAGAGGAGTTGAGATGACAAGAAACAGGACTGACGGACAGACGGACGGGTCAAAAACATTATACCCTCCGCAACTCGTTGCGTGGGGTATAAATATGATGAATATACGAAGACATTTTGTACTTGACCAACAAGGTTTGCTCACAGTGTGCAGGTTAACCTGTCAAGATACCAAGACACATTGCTGCAACTCCCAGTCTTAGTTCTTATTGTGAGTTACATCCTTGGTAAAAAAAAGAGCTAATATCAATTTTAAAGTCTGTCATTTAAGCTGTCTAGGAGTGATACACATCATCATGCACTTAAAATGAGCATGCTATCACAAAAACAACAAAGGCAGTAAAATTCAATTGAAAGAAATATATCAAATGGAAGTAAACTATTAAGTTTATGAATTCAGAGTTAAAATTGTAATTTGGCATTAAATTTTATAAGCTTGCCTCTTAATGAAATTGTATACCAACCTTCAAGCTGATGTGACCACAACTTCATGGTAAAACTACCTGGACCAAAATCTAACCGGAAATCAACTTATTACACGCTCATATTTGTATGTTCAGCTAACCATGAAATCAGGGTTAGAACCATAATTTTGTGTATAATTTACAATGTTCCATTACTCAGGTTATATTTAATATCTTAACCAAAGGTTTTAACCTTATATGGGACAGATGAACAGCAGAAAACATCATGCTTCCTACTACTAAGATGCACATACAAATGAATGACATTAGACCAAAGCCTACAGTATATCAACATATGTATTATGTTGTCTGCCTTATTTCAAAGCACCTGTCCAAAAAAAGCCTGTAAAACTGACTACTTAACAAGTACCAATCAAATCAATAACATCCTAGGAAAACACACACATTAGTTGATTTTTGGAACTATAATTCTAACGTAAACTGTAAATTTGGCTTTCTATTGACTCTGAACATTTCTGATGAAATCTCGAAAAAAGCTTTTGTTGAAAATTTACAATAGTAAATGCACACATGTAATTTTGAATTTACAGTAACAATTTTGTACAATTATATGATATTCAAATCATCAGGTGAGGTACAATGAGGTAATAAAGAATAACAAATTTTTTTCACATTTTTTTTTTACTTCATCTGAGATATCTGACAGTCTCTTAACGATTAGATTTAGCAACACGTTCCAACTCGTCCTTCTTCTTAATAGCATGAGAGTTAGAAGATCCCTGTAAATAGATTAAAAAGTCATGTATTAGACATAACTATAACTTTAAACAATTTATCTTACAGTAAACAAAAATATTTGAAAAAAAAATTAACAATGCAAGTGTTTTTGCGCACATGCACAAAGTATCAACATCAAATCAGGTCAATGATGGACATTTACAATCCTGTTACTTTCTTTCCTATTTCCAAAAGGTAACATATAATTAAAGATATAACTTTCATGTTTTTGTATTGCTCAGTCTTTAGTGTTCTTTGTTGTGTTTTGTTTTTTTGCTATAGTGTTGTCAGTTTATTTTCAACTTATGAGTTTGAATGTCCCTTTGTTATCTTTCGCCTCACTTTTATAAGAAAACAAGGTTAAAACTTAATGCCCCCACCGCTACAGCGGGGGCATAAAAAATAAGTTGACCTAATATGATCTTTATGCTTTGTGTTTTTGTAAAGTGTTATTGGGTTGCTGTCTGATCAATGTTTATCCAAAATCTCCATTTATTCATATTCAAAGACTTTTTAAATGACATTTATAAATGGAGTGCTAACAATTTTAAAGTATATATCATAGATCAGAACAAGTGAGTACAAACTTGGAACAGGATCTCATCACAATCAGAGAGGGCAAGTTCCTATCATCATTTCTATGACATATTACTATTAAAATTAGTCATTATTAGAAATTATTTTTTTGTGTGTAAATTTTGATATATTCAGTACAAATATATCCTGTAATTATGCATCACAGCCAGAAATAAATTTTTCATATTTTTTCTACTGGGTAATAATCCACTAATCTAATTCAATACACCATACAAGCTTAGGAGAGTGTAATGCTGCATTTCTGCTATTAAAAACAATTGTCTTCTATTACCAATTAGTATGTTGCTAACTGTAACAAAACCATCATGCAACATCATAATCATGTCTACACAAATCAAATACAGTGCACACACAGATTGAGTAAAATTTCGATGAGAAGTAAATCACTGCCCCAGGATTCTCGTTTTCGATTTAAAAAAGATCCACAGAAATTTTGCGTTACCATATATTTTCAGTACAGTTACCCTATGTAGAAAGAGCAGCTAAAAAAGTATACATTAGAAATGTACATGTATGCTAATTTTGATGAATTGTTAATTAATACCTTAGCAGCATTGATGAGTTCATCAGCCAAACACTCAGCAATTGTCTTAATATTTCTGAATGATGTGTCCCTGGCTCCAGTACACAGAAGCCAGATAGCCTGGTTTACTCTTCTTAGAGGTGACACATCAACAGCTTGACGTCTTACTGTACCGGCACGACCAATTCTGGTGGAATCTTCACGTGGTCCACTGTTAATGATTGCATTCACCAACACTTGTAAAGGATTCTACAAAATAAAGTTGATTCTAATTTAAGAGTCAATAAAGCATTTTCTTCATTAAATCTGTATATATTTTACCACTGTATCCAGAAAAATACTTTGATCTAATGCAGGCTATTCAATTTTTAAATCTTGAAACTCAAGCTCTTGATACTTGTTCTATTGTAAAATAGATGGAGACAAAGATGATGCCCCTCCCCCCGCATATAATAATATAAAGAGGCATAACTCGAGAAAGGTAGAAGTGACACAACCCAAATTCAATCTTGATCTGTGTTTTGTGGTAATAGCACTGTGTGTAAGATAAATAACATTTGGTTGAGGCAAACTTAAGTTAAAAGGAACGAAAAATTCAGCAATTTTTCCATATATAAAGGGGCATAACTCAAGAACAGTAGAAGTGATGCCACCCATATTAGAACTTGATCTGTGTTTTTTGGTAATAAGCACTGTGTATAAGTTTCATAACATTTGGTTGAGGCAAACTTAAGTTAGAGAATGGAAACCAATCATGGAACAGACGTGGGTAACACTTAATGTCCCCTCCCGTGACAGAGGGGCATAAAAATTAAGATTTGTCATTCAGCCCATTATGCAATCGTGACCCATTTCTCCATGCCTTTTTACATCATATGAAGGTAACCAATGCATTTTGTTACTTTTTAAGAATTACTGTTTTATTTCTGCTTTTTTCTTTCAATATAAGACTAAATCAGTAAATGAGGCCAGTACTTATGCTTCTTCATAATGAAATGAAAATGGCTTTATATCAAACATTATTTACATGTTATATCATAGTTCAGAACAAGTGAGTACAAACTTGGAACAGGATCTCATCACAATCAGAGAGGGCAAGTTCCTATCATCATGACTATGATATTTTCAGTTCTTGGCTTCAGTTATTAGATCTGTATATGTTGTAATTCAATTAAGAACTATCCTTGTCAATAGATTTCCTTGATTTTTTTCAGATTCAGAATAATACAAAATCAAGCCAAATTTCAGGCGTATCTTCTCAAGTAACTGCTCAGAATAGTGTAAATCTAGTATCTAATCTCAAAGGCTATAAAAGAATCCTCCAACACAGCAATATAAATTCCTACATCACAATTATGACTACATGTAGCTGTTAATTTATAGTATAAAAATCATCAGTTTCAATCTCTCATATAATACACCAAAACCACTAGTACATCATCATATAACTTCATAATATAAATATGGGGTAATAAATGTAATATTGTAACCTAGCAGTTTCTTGATAGTTATAAATCATACAGGTACATAGTTCAGAACAAGTGAGTACAAACTTGGAACAGGATCTCATCACAATCAGAGAGGGCAAGTTCCTATCATCATAACTATGTGAATTTCTGTACAAATGATTTGTGTGATGAAAGCATTATTTTAATCACACAAAAATAACAAACAAAAAAATATATTTAAATAATTAAATTTGTGGAAGAATGAGACGTAAATTTTTTTTTTTTTTTTAACTTTATATAATTACAACTTCATCTTGGATAGATTGCATTTACATTTGTAACCAAGATATACACTATTAACTTAAATAAATGGGGAATGTGTCCATGGGACACAGATGATGCCCCCGCTTCAGCAATTTTTCCATTTGTAAAGGGTCATAACTCTAGAACGGTAAAAGTGACGCCACCAAAATTCGAACTTGATCTGTGTTTTGTGGTAATGAGCATTGTGCATAAGTTTCATAACATTTGGTTGAGGCAAACTTAAGTTAGAGAACGGAAACAAAAAATTCAGCAATTTTTCTATTTGTAAAGGGGCATAACTCTAGAACGGTAAAAGTGATGCCACCAAAACAAACTTGATCTGTGTTTTGTGGTAATAAGCATTGTGTATAAGTTTCATAACATTTGGTTGAGGCAAACTAAAGTTACAGAACGGAAACCAATTTTGGGACGTACGTATGAACCTACAGGCGGACAAGGGTAAAACTTAATGCCCCCTCCGCTACGGCGGGGGCATAAAAACAGATGTATTGTAATCAATATCTATCACGAACAAAGAAAACAAGTGATTGTGAGCACTGAAGGGTTAAGAATATTGCTTCACTTTTATTAGCAATTGAACAAATTTAGGCATTTTTTAATTGGATTTATCTTCAATTGTTTTTCACTTGCAATTAGTTTAACTTATTTTTAGAACAAATAAAATAAAACACATGACATAATATCGGAACCAAATTAAACACACCTAAAGGACAATATCATGACTAAAATAACCACAGGTGATGATCAATATCATAACCAAAATAAAACACATGACACAATATAGGAACCAAATTAAACACACATAAAGGACAATATCTTGACTAAAATAAACACATGTGATGGACAATATATATTTGATTTTTGATTTTTTGGTGTTTTAACGCCACTTTTAAGCACTGCTTTTGGGCTATTTTGTGGCGGCCAGTTTTTATTGGTGGAGGAAGCCTCAGTGCCCGGAGAAAACCACCGACCTTCAATAGGAAAACTGACAATCCTAGTCAATTAAGATTGGAGTCTAGTGCACCTGCACGAGCAGGGTTTGAACTCACAACCTCAGTGTTGACTGGCTAGTGAATACAGTAGTAACTACTTAGACCACTCGGCCACAGAGGCCCCTGAACAATATATATATATATCGAAATAAGCAAATACATGTATGACAGACAATATCATGACACAAGAAAAACCAACACCTGTCTTTTCTTCCTTTTATTTGTAAAAGCAATATGCAAGTTTTTACACACGTTATAAACATCACATGAACATACTCTCAAACTAGGCTTAATCAAAACCTCACAATAAGTGTCCAGTACAAAGTTTTACTCCCCATCACATTAACCAGAAATATTTCAATTCTAAAATAAGTTTTCAAATCAAAGTTCAGAACAAGTGAGTACAACTTGGAACAGGATCTCATCACAATCAGAGAGGGCAAGTTCCTATCATCATAACTATGATATTATCATATTTTACTTTTTATTTTTCATTTTATAAGTTTGTTAAGTAAAGTCTTCATCAATGTATTTCTTTGGCATTCTGCAGTCCAGAAAACCCGAGTCAAAGGAAATTATTCAAATGATTGCAACACTTCCAGATAAATCACCTCCTCAGATTTTATGCAAGTATGAGCATATTGTACTTAAAAGGAATCATCCATCCAAAAACAGCAAGATAAATTCTTACATCTATATCAATCACTTTATAAAAATCATACAGTACTTGTAGTCAACATCTTGAAATTTTAGCACTTAAATGAAAACCACCTGCACCAAATCATATCATTAGGCATCATCTAACAAACACTCTGCAACAAGATTCTATCAATTTATTTCTATTCCGTTATATTTGGAATTTCCCTATTCTATTTCTATCTTTAGACTTGTGGTACAAGTTTGGCTAGTATGTAAATCAGAAGTGGTCTGATGTTACTGTTGTTTTCTGCACGAATATTTCGAGGGCGGTAGTACGGGTGGGGTTTTATAGGCATATATAAGTCCTGATTACGTTTGATTATTATCGATGTGCTCCAGTAACTTTGATAGACGAAGTTAACGTTAAGCTCTGCATAATATATTACAGTTATGTTTGTATTGATATGTATTTAGAGGACATTGTGAATGTATATAGATGGAATTGTGGTATATTTTTGTAATTTGTAAAATGTTTACAAGATATTAAATGTTGTTTCGCTGAGAAAATAAGAAAGTTACTGCGAGCAAACAAACCTAAATTATGACTTGTCTCTTATTTAGCCATGTATTTAGTATAGAAATGTTTTAAATTCGGACGAATTCATGAGGGAGAATTTAAAAGTAAAATATGTAACACCTAGCACATGTAGCAGTTTCTAATATAAAATTAAAATCATACAATTTGCATGGCCATAGTTCAGATCAAGCGAGTACAAGCTTGGAACAGGATCTCATCACAATCAGAGAGGGCAAGTTCCTATCATCATAACTATTTTAATTTCAGACCAAAACACACAAGATGGAGACATTGTTATCACATGAACATAGGAATATATAATTATATAATAAAGATATGTTATCTTTTGGGAGAATATGATTCCCAACATATCTTTCTGGAATATGAATGATACAGACCCCAAATTAAAACCTCAATGTTATCTTGTAAAGATTACATTCAGTTACAGTTGATTACATTTAACAGTCAGAGCTCTGACATAAACAAGTCAGAATAAAATGACTTCCATAGGTCAGATATAATTTGATGTAAGTGTTGTCTCCCTTCTTGCACTCAACAGAATATGACTTGTACAGGTCAGTTTATGTCAGACTTTAATTTATCATAAAATGACTTCCACAGGTCAGATTTTGCACAAAATATTGTGACTTAATATCTTTATATTCTAATAAGATTTATGCCCCTTTTTAATGCATTTTGACTTCGAGAGGTCATTTTTGTTCTGATTTGAAGCAGTCATTACTACCACTTTGTTATCAATCTCCATAAAAATATGGTGATTACTAGTTTCGAATTAAAGAGTTTTAAAAAGTGGGGCTCATCTGACATCATACCTTCTCCTTTCCAGAATCTAAACATAATATATTTATCTCATCACTTTCAATTATTTCAAAATACAAAGAAAAACCAGGTGAGAAAAAATGGATCATACAATTTTCTGAATATCAAAAGATTTACAAAATACAATATTGGATACATTACATGACAATACTTCAAATCTTCCAAGGAAAAACAAGACACTTATTCATGATAAGACTATGTTAATAAAAGATATATTCTCATCCACTTTAAGCTACTAGTAAATGTATTAAGAGCAAAACATTTATTATTTTAATATTTCATTGAGGTAAATACTGTTGTGCAAACTGACTCAAACAAGTCACATTATGTTCTGACTTACTAAACGTATTACAACTTTTAAGTCTAGTATTGTCATATTGATTTAAAAATGTATAGGTAAGCCAGATAAAAGACTGAGGAAATTAGGTC